GCCTTATCGACCGCCTCTGAGTCACACGGGGCTTTCCTTAGCACTGTTTGCTGGAGTTGGGCAACCATGTGGGGGATTGGTTGGGTTTTTTTGTTTTTTCTAAAGGAAGCTATTAGTCACAGCTAATCAAAAAAAAAAAAAAAAGAAAACCCCCAAACCAAAAATCCCACCACCACCAAAAACCCCCAACCCCTTTTCAAACCTAACCCCTTTTCAAAGTCTTGCCCATGGAAACAGAGGAGGTTTGTGTATGTTACTTCTGTTTTCTGACATGAGATTATCAGTAATTTCTTCTGCTATATTATCAGCAATTTTCCCCAGGTTTCTCAGGCTCTTGCTGTTAGAAGGAAGGAACCAGATGGAAAACCCCTCCTGCATTTTCTAGGCCTGGAGAGGAGATTTTTTTTTTCTCCCCCCCCATGCCAGTGCTGTCCCCAAGATCTAGTTCCTATTTCAGCAGCAGGAGGTGGGCGCTGAGCTTTACCTGCTGCAGGGACTGGGGGTTTGCTGGGAGAAAAGGAAGCTGCCTCCCACACGTTGGAAGTTCCCAGTTCCCATCAAAGCGAGGGAAAAGCTGGAAAGCCACATTCCTATTAAATATTAGCCAAGGAGGTGATGGAGATAAAACAGCGGGTGTCCTTGGCAGGCGAGGCGGGACGGTTAACGCCGTGCGTGCCGGGGAGGCTGGCGGGGGCCGGCAGGGGCCGGGGGGGTGTTTGCTCAAGGATGAGGCTGAGCGTTTGTCTTCCAAGGCAAGTCCCAGCTGGCGGCTGCTGCTGGCTGGACGGGTTTGGGGGGAAGAGTCGAGAGGAGATGGTGCTGCTGGCTGGGGCGGTCGGGCAAGGAAGGGTTTGGATGGGGAAGGGTTTGGAGGAGGAAGGGTTTGCAGCACGCGAGGACAGGCAGGTCACACTCTGGAGGACAGGTTCTGCTAGGGCTGGCTTAGAGGAAGGGGTGGTCCGCTCCTGGGAGGACTCAGGAGCATCACTTGGCAAATCCAGGCGTGCTTATGACAGTCCTGACACCCTCGAGTTCTCCTCCGGTGGTGTATTGGGTGAATGGGATGAAAAAACCCCGCAGTTTGTCAGAGCGGGCTGGCAGATGTTGGTGAGGTTGATGTCCCATCACTGCTCCAAGCAGCAGCATCCCTTTCTCATGCCTCTTTTCCTCCCCACAGAGGGAAGCCCGGGACGTTCACCAGATGCTGGCAGACTGCCACGCCAGGAAGCGCGGTACCCAGCAGGTCAGTGTCAATCGGGGATGCTGTGAACGCATCCAGTGGGGTCCAGACTTTATCCCACAGCCCCAGCCAGCCTCCCAGCCTCATCCGACCCAAGAACATCCTCACCTCTGGGCTGGATTTCTCCAGCTCCTCGCGGGTGGTGTGACGGTTTGGGGATGATACGAAGCGGGCCAGCCTGGCAGATGGGAGATGCTCCCGGTGATTGCTGGCAGACTGTTTTCCCTTCCTCCCTCTGCTGTAACCTGCAGTAAGAAAGAGGGTCTGTACGTTGTTGGAATCGGAGGGAAAATATTTCAAGACGAGTTAGAAAGCAGGGCTACGACTAGCCTGGGACAAAGCACCCAACAGACTGTTCCTTTTACAGACGGAGGAAGCACAGAGGAGAACTTCAGGAGAAGAGCCCACAGCTCCCCAGGAGGCAGCACCCCAGAGCCACCCCGCCTCCGAGAGCCCCAGGACGCTGCAGAGACCGGATGAGAACGAGCCTGAATGGCAGGAATCCTGTAAGATCTCAGGGGGACCTTTTCCTGTGGGGCTTGAGTGAGAACTCCTGGGGCTCTGTGGGGTCACTGGAACGGGATATTCGGTCGGTGGGTGGGGAGCACTGCCAAAAAATACAGTGCTGCCTTATCAGATATACTCCTGTGTCCACATGGCATTGGGACTGGAGCTGGGCAGGGAAACGGAAGACTTTTTGGTGCAGAAAAGTCACTGTTTGCAACCATTTCCCATTTCCAGTCTTTTCTGTATTTTGGTCAGGCTGGTTTTAGTTGAAACGTTAAACTTTTAAGCATTAAGAATGATGCCAAGCAGCGTGGGTCCTGCTGGACATAAACAGGGATGTCCCAGGTCCCAGGTATGGTCGCTGCCATCCAGACACCGTCCCACCCCAGCAGAGCCTCGCCGTGCCGCCTTGCCTGGTGAAAGAAAATGGCAAAAAGCGTGAGACTTGGAGCAGCATCCATCACTGCTGCCAAACGCTTCCTGAAGCAGAACTTCATGCATTTTTTTTCCCCAGTTCCTCCCCTGCTGCTCAGCAGATGGCAATGCCGTACTACCCATTGTTTCCACTTCAGGGCAGAGGGTTTATGTTTTTTTCTTACTGATAAATATATAAATATATATCTCTATATCCTTATACATCTGTATCTCTATACATCTGAAGCTGATTACAAAAGCAAGGAAAGAGCCAGCCCCACACAGCCAGCCTGGCGAGCCGGTTGCTCCTGCAGACTGCGGGATGAGCTGCTGAACGCTGGTAACCTAGAGAATCAAGGCAGCTTTTCAGCAAAAAACCACCCAGCCAAGTCCTCCGTTTCAGCACAGCTCCCTCCAGCCCTCATAAAACCATCAGCGCTCTCCAAACCTTCAGAGGATTGGTTTGGGGTCATTTCAGCAGCTGTTATTCCACACCACAGCCCCTGCTCGTGTGACAGCTGCTGCAGAAATCCAGCTCTGAGCCGAGAGCCAGCACGCGAAACAAACCCGCGCAGTCTCTGCGCACAGAGGGACCCGGTGCTCAGACAAAACCCAGATTTTTAACCTCCCAAAGGAATAAACACTGGGCTCTGTTAAGCAGCAGATGCCCAAAAGCGATGGGAGATGGGTCAGAAGCGCTCTAACACAGGAGCGCATCCCTCACCCGGTGAGCTGGGTCACTCCTCCGCTCCAGCAAGCAGGGAACAGCCAGCGGGCAGCGAGCTTACAACCTGCCTGCTTGTTCGCTCCTGTAGGACTCCTTTTCTGTTCCAGTGCGGAAATCCAAGGCGGCGGACGAGAAGAGACGCTCCCTCGCGCGACAAGCCAGGGATGACTACAGGCGACTCTCACTGCAGGGTGCCCGCAGAGGGAAGCAGGCAGATATCTCCCGGGGTGCCGCCGGAGGGGACCGGCGACCGCTCCAGTACCCGCCCCTGCCCCCCAAGCCAAAACTCCTGCCACTGGCGATGACCAACGGGAGGGCGATTAGGTAAGGAAACCCCTGGGCGCTGAAGGGATGAGATTCTTCTGCTCTAGCGTGGGATGGTGGTGGGAAAGGTCAGTTCTGCTCCTTGCATGGAGGGAAAAAATACAGAGCCCAGGTTAAATCCCGGCCCAGGGTGTGAGGAGCCTCATGGGTTCACCCCAGGAAGGTAACAGGTTGATTTAGTAGAACATCCCAAGCCCAGAGTGCGTACATCCTCTGTGCTAGGTGTCCACTGAAAACCAGATACTGGTGCTGAGAGCTGCCCTCAAGCTGTTCCCGAACCCCCCGAACAAAAGACAAGTCCTGCCCAGGACTCAGAAGCCGTCGTTTGAACCTGATGCATAAACCACGGTCTTTTCTACCAGGAAAGAGGGGATCCAGAGGACGACCTCCGATTCCACGGAAGAAAGCATCATCAGGTGGTTCCGAGAGGAGCAGTTCCCGCTCCGAGCTGGCTATCAGAAAGCCGCGGATGCCATCGCGCCTTGGTTCCACGGTGAGTCCCGAGGGTGTCCGCCCCAGCCCGACCCTCCCAGGAGCCGTTCCTGATAACGCAGCTGCGGGCACGGGCTGGGCTCAGGAGATTTTTGAAGGTGGCCAAGTTTTCAGTTTGAATTATATATAAATGTTGTTTAAATTACTGCAGCGTTACAGAGGGCAAGCTAAAGTGTTAGAACAGAGGCCAGGTCTCTAAAATACCCTGTCCCTCTGTGCCAGCGCTGCCTCCCTGTCCCGGGTCCACGGTGTCCCTGGGCACACCTCATGTCACACACCCTTGGCCCCAGGTCGTTCTCCCTCCAGACGTGCTCCTCGTCCATCCATCCTGTCCCATGGCCAATGGGTCAGCGTGGTCCCATCCCTCTCCCTTGCTGTGGAAACCCCTTCGATTCGAGACCGCAGCAACACAAACGTTATCTTCTCGTAACCGGGCTTTCATTGCTCGCGGGGCTTTCGGAGCAGAGCCTGAGGCCACGTCTGCTACGAGCAATGGCAGGAATGCTCTGCCGGGGCTGCTGGGCAGGGAAACGTGCAGAGGTGCCAGTGCCACGGGCTGGTTTTAGAGCGCTAAAGCAGGTTTGTTGCAAGAACTGTTCCACCCAGTCCTGCACAAACACCCTTTCCCTCCCGTTGGGTGTTCTGGTTCTGAACAGGTATCCTGAGTTCTAGGAAAGCAGAGGAGCTGCTGGATAAAACAGCGCCGGGGAGCTTTCTGGTGCGGGTCAGTGAGAAAATCAAAGGCTACGTGCTCTCCTATCGCTCGGCGGAGGGATGCAAACACTTCCTCATTGATGCCTCCGGTGATGCCTACAGCTTCCTCGGGGTGGACCAGCTGCAGCATTCCACGCTGGCCGACCTCGTGGACTACCACAAGGTGAGCACCTAGCAGCGCATTCTCTAGCTGTTTTGTTGCCTCAGGGTATTTCAGAACAAGAAGGAATAGATTCCATTGTTTTATAGTAGATAACAAGCCCCATTTTAGCTACTGCTGGGTATCCAGTGTGCTGCTCCAGCAGGGAAGGCACCAGCCTGAGGGGTACCACCCTGATGACCAAACCCATCTCAAACATCTCCCACCTGAACCACCCCCATCAGGTGCACAGAACCCCCTGCACACAGGGCTCACGCTGCTACATGCCGATAAGGTGAGAGGGGACAGCGTACTCACACAAACTCCAAACTCCTTTTTTTTTTTTTTTTTTTTTGATTCTCTCGGTGGTTGTGGCATCCCGGCAAGTTGGGTAAGCAGAAATACTGCTTGCCTCCAGCTTGAGAACGGAAGTGTATCTTTATAGCCTCAAAGCAGGCAAGGTGTGATACCGAGCAAAGATAAATAATGGAAGGGAAGGAAGGCTCTGGCAGCAGCGTTTACAAGCACCAACGGCAGCTGCACGGGCTCCAAGGAGAGCAAGATGCATCCCTGTGCTGCAAGGTCTGCAGGGTTCATTTGAGATCCATCTTTCTTCAAAATCGAGTGCCTAGGCTAACACAGACGTGGCTGAACAAAACTGGGCATGAGAAAAATATCTGTGCTCGTTCGCTGTATGGAGCTCTCCTTGGGCTGCTGCCCCTCACTCCTTGGGTGGGTTCCACATGTCGCCAGCCAGAGCTCTATGGCTCTGGGCACCGGAGCCCCAGGACTTAAAGCCTGGCTGCACATGTTAAAGAGAGAGCCGTGCCCACGGGCTGCAAAGAGCACACCCACCCTGCTGCCCTCCTCTGTCGGGTTCAGCTCATCACCCACCGGGCGATGGCGAAAGAGCCGAGAAGGGAAGCAAAAGGCTGTTCCCAGGGCGTCCCCTCGTCAGAGCAAGGCTCGCCTGAGCAGAGGGCACGGGCTCACTCCGGGATCCACAGACCAGGGTTCACGCCTGCGGGCACGCTGCCCCATCCCTGTGGTCCTCCCTCCAGCACCTCCCGGGCAGGGCAGGGTTTAACCCCCCAGGAGCCGCAGTTGCCAACAAGATAAGCACAGCTCCTTCCAAGAATGGCCGGAGCCGTGTCACTGGGTTACCGCACCCAGCCACAGAATCACAGGATGGTTTGGGTTGGAAGGGACCTTAGAGATCATCCAGTTCCACCCCCTGCCATGGGCAGGGACACCTCTCACCAGCCCAGGTTGCCCAAAGCCTCATCCAGCCTGGCCTTGAACCCCTCCAGGGATGGGGCATCCACAGCTTCTCTGGGCAGCCTGGGACACTGCCTCACCCCCCGCACAGGAAATATTTCTTTCTCAGTCTAGCCCCTGAGGGAGGCAGGGGCACTGCCGCCCACCCCAGCGGCATTGGACCGCAGGGTGCACCCCGGTCTGTGTGCAAAGCGGTGTTTAACCCCATCCTGCACCAACAGGACGAACCCATCACGTCCCTGGGGAAGGAGCTGTTGCTTTACCCCTGTGGCCAAGAGGACCAGGAACCAGACTACATCTCCCTCTTCAAGTGAGCCTCCTGGCCTCGCTGTGCAGCCCCACGCCTGTGTTCCCAGAGACTGGACTCCCCAGCAGAGCGGCCGATGCTCACCTGAGCCGGTTGCCATACGTGCCCCCAGTTCAAACCCTTCACAACAGGGCAGCGGGAGGAGACGTGCTGCTGCAGGCTCATGTTATCGCCGGAGTGAAAGGATGCATCAGCCTGGCTGCTGAGCACCTGGATGGACCGCGGGGGTTCGAGGTGATGAAGCCATGGGTTCAACGGAGAGATGCTACCATGGATTTTCAGTGGGATTTTACAGATTTCCTGGGGGACACTGGTGTTGGAGCTGCCTTTTGTTCTTGAATGCAAAGCTGTGTGCTGTCTGGGAAACAAATTAGCAGCTGCAGTGGAAAGGGACCATACCTTCCTGACAGCACAGAACGGCTCGGTGAGGTGAATCGGTCTCGGTATAGGAATTGGTATAATGGGAAGCTCAACCCTGTAAAATGCTGTGCCCTGGGAATGGAGGGTGTTCAAGCCAGACATCCAAGCCAACCCTTGGCGCCTTTCAGGGAAAGGTACTCTCTGTGAAGAGGGATTTTCATGAAAAGTGTGTTTTTTTAAAAACTCCTTTAGCTTCTGAATATAGATCCTGGCTCTTTGAAGCTGTATTTAAATCCCACGCTGGCTTTCCTGCAGAGAGAGGGACCAACCTGTAGAAAGGGAGGGGAGAAGGGATACAGGAACGCGTCTGAAAGACTTCAGCACTTGCACAGAGCCTAAGCAACGCATGAAGCAGCACCTCTATCAGTATTAGTACCGTTTACAGAGGAGCGTTTGCCAGTAAAGAACGCTCCTTTCCAAACCAGAGCTATTTATTATAAGCTGTGTCCAGATTACTGAGATGCATCTGGTGTAAACCTTAATACAGAACTTTTTCATCCAACATTATCTTCTCTCTCTGTGTCTGTTACTCTGCTCTTTAAAGTCAGGATTCGGAATGCTGGGGGAGAGGCTGGGCAGGATCACCTGGATGAGTCCCCAGCCAGCTTCCCTCAGTCTGAGCTGCCGCACGGGACACACCGCGCAGCCGGGGGGTGTGCTGCAAACCTGCCAACAGCATCATTTCTATAGATATGTGACCATCAGATAGCCAACAAGAGTCTATGGTGGTTGGGTTGTTTGCCTCTTCCCCTCCTCCTGTTGGATCAGGAGGAAGCAGCCAGAAACTTCAGTCTTGTGTCACCCTGCGCTTTGCTACGGGTTAAAATAAATTGTTGTCATCACTTGGTCCTACAGTGTACAACTGTGCTGCGAGGTGGTTTCCAGCCAAGGGAAGAGGGGATGACCATGCTCCAGCTGCAGCACCTTTAACTTTCTAAACAGAAAGCCCTGATGGAAAGCGAGACCCAAAGTCACAGCACTCTGGGAAACGACTGACAGAGCTCCCCGAGTGCTCTGTCACGTTATCAGAGAGAGATTTTCAACATTCTCAGCAACAATCTTGGGAAGGGGGGCTAGACCATCTGTAGGAAAAAAAAAAAACAAAACCAAAAACAACCTCCTTTTGTCTTCCTGAACTGTTTCTTTTGAAAACTATGGCCAAAAGTAAAATTAATGGTCATTCAGAGATCTGCCGTGCTAGGAAAACGCCAGCTTCACTCTGCTGTGAATGCAGAAAGCTGAGGTTTCATCCCTACACACTCAGATTTCTGCAGCACCCTCCCCAGAACAGGTGCCCTCAAGACCGGCTCCTCCATCGCTCCAAGTCTGTGGGGCAAGGATGGCTTGCAGCGGTCAGGAACCAGGGATGTTGCCTTTACTTGTCTTGCGGAGGTTGTCAGCAGAAGCTCTCCTCAAGGGTGCTGTGCACGGACTACAAGGGTACTCGCCTTTGAAAGTTCCTCAGGTTACTGCTGGAGTTTTTTTGGTAAGAGATGTATTTGGGGATTGGTTCTTTAAGAGTCCTTTTTCCGTCAGATCCTTTTGTCTTTTTGCAGCGTTTTGGGACACGGGGTGATTGGCAAGGGCAGTGCACCACAGACCACTTGCATCTAACAAAAACAACACACGTAGACAGGCGTCACGGGAAAAGGCACTTACAGCAGCAGGGTCTCTGGCTGCAATGCTGTATGCAATGCTTTCCAAAGAGGCTCACAAGCACTTTGCCTGCCCCAGAGCAGCACGACAAATAGCGGTTTATTCATTGTTCGCTGCTTTCTTGCATATTTTTTTCCCCCCTGCTTTTACAAGCCAAAACCCAGAGGAGAATCTGGTTTCAGACTGCCTTGAATTCATCTGAAGCTACAAAACAAAGACCACCTGGAGAAAGAGCGTTTAGGGAAGCAAATGGGATTCCCAAGCCCATACATATTTGGTTGAGTAGTAAATATTAAAATGATAAACAGCAGCCATAATTAAAAGAAAATGCTTTGTAAGAGCAGTAACTCATGCTTTCAACAGCTTTAGGCAATAGAAAAAAAATCCATTGAGGGGACTAATTTTTAGGATGCACCTATAATTATCATACGAGAATTTGCAGGGACCAGTAATAATCCATCGCAAAAAATTTATTTAGTTAATTACAAAAAGCTTGCTATGCCCCAGGCAAGATTCTAGTTTTGGTTTAGAAGGAATACTTTGGTATACAGTCAGAAAATGTTCATTAATTTTGGCATCTGAGATTCAGAGTTTCAAGCCTGCTGCTAAAGCAGCACTGCGGGTTGACAGGGGTTTCCTTCTCCACAGTGTGGTGAAGCTTCTTCCTTCCAGCACCCAGCTCACGTGGAAAAATCACTTACCTGAGCCCAGCTCCCCTCTACGGGAAACAGATCTGCAGGGCATTTCCCACGCGTGGGGAGCCTGCAGCTGTTCCTAGTAAGGCTAGAAGTAGAAAACCTGAAGTATGACAAAAGAATTCCCAAGCAAAACCAATCTCGTTTAAAAATAAGTCTTGAGATGCTGACAGCACTCCCGAGCAGAAGCACACCATCTGATCCACGGATACCGACACGGCTCACGGCTTCGGGTTTGCTGCCCGCAGAAGAGGACAAGCACTACCCTGCAGCGGCTCTGGAGCACCCTACTGCATCGGGAGGACTGTCTGAGCGCTTTCTGAGCTGCCCCTTGTCTCTAAATCACGGGGAATACCCTCTTAGTGCACCCCCACCCCTGCCCCTTACGGGAAAACGGTTTTTGGTGACTCCAGCCCCACCATCAGTAACCAAGAGATTTCCTTCTCAGAGCAGAAGCTCTCTGCTTGTTCAGAAATAGCCCTTTTTAGACATGTCAGAATAGGTGCAGAGAATATCTCACTGGCCCGCTCAAGTGTCAACGCTTTAGCTGACCGCACACATCTCACACACGCTCCAGCAGACGAGCCCATCCATCTGTTACTGGGAACACCACACCGGCGTCGATGCAACGTTCCTTGGCTCTGTGACCTTGAATCCCATAATGTTCGAGTCTCCCCCAGAAGCACGTGCTGTCGGAGTCCTTAAAAGCCCCGTTACCAACAACCCGAAGTGTGGAGGATGAGCGTTCTCCCTCCTCTTTTCCTGCTGGAATCTCCATCCTCCTTCAGTCTCATCCCATCTTGTGAGCAGCTCTCTTCCCAAAACACCCTCCAGTCCAACACAGAGGCTCTTCCCCTCCCTTTCTGGCTTCATGTCTTCTTGCTGCTGAGTTTCTGCCTGCGCAGGTGGCTCTCGATCTCTCGCCTGAAGACGAGCATGCCGAGCTGGCCGTGGGACGCCTCGTTCATGGCTTTGGACTGCACACACATCCTGTACTGCTCGGGGCTCAGCTCGCCCGGGCACCGCTTCTCGTGCCACAGGTGGAAGAGGCCCCTGGCGGGCGTCCGGATGACGATGAGGTTGCTGTGAAGGTATTTGCGGTACAGATGGACATCTTCCCCACCCCAGCCTTTAATGTCCAGATCGAAGCCACCTGCCACAAAGAAAACCCAAAAATAAAAATAGAAATATATATCAGCAAACTTCACGCGGTTAATTGCGCTATGGCAGAGAACATTGAAGTGTCCAAATTTCTGAGCTTCACCATCAGCCAGAATGACTTTATTTGTACTGAAAAAGGCTTAGATTCTGGTCACCTCTCCGGCCCCTGGGAACAGCCTGGAGATGTAACCAGAGCCCTGCTGCAGGGCAGAGCCAGGGACAGGGAGGCTCATCACAATTTTCTGTGTTTCAGTAAAAAGGCAGATGGATTGGAGTGGTTTATTCTTACCTATGTTGATAAAGTCAGATCTGTACTGGCAAGTCATCCCAAACCCAAAGTCTCTCCAAAATCCAGTTTCTTTTTTAATAACCTGCATGGAGGGAAGGGAATGTTTGTATGGGAGCAGCGATGCTCGCGGTGTGCGCAGCACAGAGCCCCCGAACACAGTCAGAAACAGCCGCCACTGCCCTTTTATTCTCCCCCACGTAAACCCATGGTCGTTTGTAAATACTTATTGCATGTTTCCACCCCAAAAACCAGCCCTGTCGCTAGCTGTGAAGGATAAACCCCCCTGATCTGGAATGATCAGACCACATGGAGCAATATCACATCGCTGGAGTTCGCCTCTTTGCAGGCAAAACATCGCCAAAATCATTAGTTTCTGTGGAAGTCAAAGCTGACATAAGAAACCTACCGGTAAGCCGGGGGAGCCAGACTCAGCTCTGGAGCAGATGGTGGCACCTGCATTGTGGACCCCGAGAGCTTTGGGAGGGAACAGTGGTTCCAGTCTGACCGCACACCTGACAGCTTTTCCATTACCTTAATTTTGACAAAAATTAGGCTAGTGGTAAGAATAGTTTTCCATTGCAGAATGGCTGTAATCCAGCTAAAATTGGAGCCCAGAAATGTCAGGTGGTAATTACCCACCAAAAAACGTCCTATAAAAACCTTTGTCATCATGATCGTCCACCCACGCTGCTGGGACGGACCATGAAAATGTTCTGTGCCAGGGGCAGAAAATCAGAGCGCTGAGAGCACGGCTCGTGTTTTCAACAGCAGATGTCCAGGCACAGGTCCCTAAAACCATCACTCACGTGTGACCCAACCCAGCCTGGTGAGCCACCCAAGGGGACAGGTCTGTACATCCCCCTCCGCAAGCCAGCAGCACCTCTGGCTCCCCAAGGGCTGGCTACAAACCTGTTCCTCAGTAGCTTTCTAAAAAAAAATTCTGGCTTCACTTGCAATAAAGTCACAGAAGATGATGAGACAGGATTTCCTTTTCTGCACTTACAAATCCCACCATTTCCTTTACTGAAAAATCCTCTTCCAAAATAGTCTTTCCTGATTTCTCATTCATACCTCTCCTTTATATTCACAACCCTTCTCATTTCAAGGAGCTTTTCTTTGCCGCTCGTGTTGCTCCCTCTCTTTTCTCATTTCTCCTCCCCTTGAAACAGCCAAGCGGCTGCACAAGCCCGTTAGAAGGAAACAAGATTGTCTCTGTCAGGTCTGCGCTGTAACGAGCAATCTCTATAACGATGCCCTTGCAGCCAGCTACGTGATGCATTAGCATTATTATTTCCATTAATGCAAGTGGCTGCCGCACAAATCAATTTATTTCAAAGATTTCCAAAGGCTTTTTTTTTTTTCCCCTCAGCAGCCCAAGTACCGGGACAGAGAACGAACCCAGTCTTGTTTTAATGGCACAGGTCTGGCCTCATGCCTGGGAACTAGTGTGGGCTGAAAGTATAAAAATCTACATAAAAATGAGACTGGCACTACTTCTTTAAATCAAAAAGCTTTTCTGATATCAGCACCACATGTTAAGATTCAAGCATTAGCTATAAATATTTGCACAATCTGGACTGTGGGATTTATGCCATCTTGAGAGCCAAACTCTATTTCCTTTCCTGAGCACGGTGCTTACAAGCCAGAGGATTCCCAGCAGGCTCTCATCAGAGAGAGAAAAGCCAAGGTGAAATCCTAGGCTATTGCTGCTATTATTTTTGCTATTACTGCTGTGTCCAAACAAAAGCAGGCGTCCAGAGAAGCACACACTTACCAGCTGCTGCTCTAGCGACGGGATGGACTCATGGTTGCCATAAATGATGCTGGGGTTATACTGGCTGAAGAGAACAGGATAAAACACCTTCTTTCCTAGAAACAACAAGGGGTGAATCTTTTAAAAGCTACGTACAACACACTTCTCTTTCCTACAGATGCTTTCCAGCCCAAACTAGATCCAGACAAAGCCACACGAGTTTTGGACTCGGCATGAGAATGCGAGTGTCAGGATGTAATTAAGAAAAAGATCCTGTTCCAGAAAGCACAGGTGCCGAAAGCAAGAAATTCAATCACAGCGGGAGCAGGGCTGTTACAACCTTTCAAAAGCCAAATTTTTATACACATCTTAATTAGTTCTCTTAAGTTTCAAGAGAGATTTACAGGAGCTTCATTAGCAATTCTAAGGCAAGAATACTCTGGTGAAGGCTGCTGCATCATAAACAAACATCTGTTGGAAGGCAATTTGCTCCGCGAGCAGCCGTACCTGGCTGCGTGTTCAGCCTGCAGGAGTTGAGGAATTCCGCTGTGAAGTAGATGTCCACGTCGCAGAAAAAGAGAACGACGTTGTGTCCTTTCCAGACTCGAGCACCAACGTCCAATCCTTTGCCCCTGGAAAATTCTTCATTCAGCTGGATGAAGGTGAAGTTCTTGAAGTTGGCTGACCTAGGAGAAAGAAAATTTTTATCAGCTCACCCAACTTCCAGCTTGCTGAGCGAGCAAACCCAACAGACCAGAGCTGGCCAAAGCATCCAGTTCATGTGTGCACTGCTGACGTGGTCTGCACCCGCCTTCGGGAGTCAGCTTTCATAGAATCACAGAAGGGTTTGGGTTGGGAAGGACCATCCAGTTCCAACCCCCCTGCGATGGGCAGGGACACCTCCTGCTGGCCCAGGTTGCTCAAAGCCTCATTCGATTTTCTCCAAGGCAGTTCAGAACTTTTTGGCACAACCATGAATTCAGACAGCAATCCAGTCTCCAGTCCAGGGTTTGACAGCTGTGGATGGACAGCACACGTTAGATATTCAGACTTACCTGGAGGTATTTTCAAGTATCGATTTGACTTCATTCATCTGTTCTCTCCCAAAGTAAACTACGGTGAGGTGAATCTGCTGAATGCCCATTTCCCTGGAGAACAGAGACACATTTACAGCTTCTCCCAGAAGTTCGGTTCATCGATAACCAAAACCCACCGGGGAAGGCAGAGCCGGCATTCCCAAGGGCATCCATCCTCCACTGACAGAGACCCTTGTCCTGACAAAGGGGCTCACTGCCTCTGCCAGATGGGACAGAAGACCATCTTTTAGGCAGGTTAGGAGAAACCTCTCAGAGCAGTGTTTGTCACACCCACAGGATGCTGTTAGCACCCCCACCCAGCCCCAGGAAGGATGACCGAGCAGGCACCCACCCTGGCACCGAGGAGAACACGAGGAGGAGGACTGGAAAGAAGCTACACACATCCTACTCCTTAACTTAGATTTTTTGGTGTTTTTTTTTTTTTAATATTCTAGAGTTCAAGTTTTTGGCATTTTGCTAAAGAGCATTCCCTAAAATCTCAGTATCAACCATCCATCAGGGCAATAGCCCAAGGGCAGGAGGGAGCTGAGCTAGGGCTGGACACCATGCCTCCTCCCTTGCACACAGCTCAGTCAGCTACAGTTCATCTATCATCAGCAGAGATCAGCATGACCAGAGGGTGATTTCTCCCATCCTGAAACAAGCTCTATCAGATGGGTAATTTAGACAAGGAGCCTATTTTTAGACAGCTGTAATTAGGCAAAACAAACCCCTTGCAAGAGTCAGCGTCTGTTGCTAACACAGGCTTTTCTGGGCAGCTATTTAAAGCTACGTCTCCATTAAATTCTCCCTCCCAACATCATCCCTGTGCCGAAAAATAAAAGCTTAAAAGTAACTATCCTGAAAGTTCAAGTACATCTTCTTCTTCCCTCTTAATGCCTTCATCTTTTCTCTAACAGGGGCTGGCAAAGGGCCTGGGAGCACCAATTCCCTTTCCTTAGAAATGCTCCTTTGGGACTAAAGGCATGAAATTCTCATGGAACCGTAGAACAGTTTGGGCTGGAAGGGATCTTTAAAGGACATCTAGCCCAACCGCCCTGCAATGAGCAGGGACATTTTAAACCAGAGCAGGTTGCTCTGTTTATTCAGATGGATTTACATTTCCCAGGGCATTCCCACTTTTTCTGACATTGCCCCACAGGACCGAGTGCCCCAACAGGACAGACAGACACACAAGCCAGGTACACGCAAATCAGACCCCGATGACTGCAGTGTAATTGCTTTTACTGCTAAACACAACACATCAAGCAGCCAAATGCCTTCCAGACTCTGAAATCTGAAATGACTTCTGAGCTGGCACAATGAAACGTTATTGAAGAGCAGCATGACTTTCACTGAGCGAGGGCTCAATAACTCCTGGAATTGCATCTTACTTCCCAAATAACACAAAGCAAAGGCAGCACTGGAATGGAAACCCACCTGAAATTCTGCATGAACTGCCGGAATTTGCTGGCTCTCTTGGCCAGCGGCACGATGACGTTAATGAGCGTGTCACCCATATTGACATTCTCATTTTTCACTTTCATTACAGGACCGAACGGCCGGAATAAAACAACCTTCTTGAACTGATGCTTTGCGTCGCCTTTGAAAGTCAGCTCATACAACGTGCCCTTGTCTTTTTCTGTCCGGTAGATCCCTGCGTGGAAAGAAAAGAGGAGATTTGGCATTAAAGCTGGGCTCCTGGGGAAAAACCATGCTGCAATCTTAATGCGTTACGCCCCAGATGAAAAAGCAGCAGAGACAGGACATATTTACTCTTAAAGCAGCGCACAGTGCACCGTGACTCGGAGGAGGCTAGCAGGAACTGGTTGGTATTCTCGCAGCACATTCCTGGGCTTGGCCGGGTGACAAAGACCTGAAGGTCACCCATTGCACACCCTCTCCCTCATAAAACAGCAGAACCAGGTGCCAGCAGCTTCACGCACTGCTGATGGGATAAAACCCTCCTGTTTCCCAGCTCTCAAGAGACTTTTCTGAGAAAATGACGCCTGCTCCTGGGCGAGCAGTGGTCGGCAGGGATGGCGCTATGGGGGAGGTCACAGGAGAGATCCAGACTGCATCAGTCTCCAAGAATATTTAATTCATACAAGCATGGACTTATTTCCTACACGGAATGAGCTTTTCCTGTACTCAGTGGGTGAAATCGGTCCCATGCTGATGGCAGGCACAAGCTCTAACTGCATCGGTCGTGCCCCGCGGCAGCACCGCCCTGATCCTCTACATGAGATGAAGTTGGCAAAAAGACTTGCCCCACTTGAAATGACACCTCCGTCCCTGCAGTGCACGCTGAAATCAAGCTGCTTCATAGTCAGATCTGTTCGGTTTAAGGAGGAATCATTAAATACCAATTCTGTCCACCTGTGAAGCCACTGGAAGCATCCCAAACAGCTTCCCCAGCAGATGAGCACCGTCGCGTTGCCGTCCTTCTCTTGCAGGAACTCAAGAGACAAGCAAAACACACCTGGAAGAAAACTCCTCTGGCTGACCTGCCGCTTTTTTCCTCTCATCTAGAAGAACTGCTTGACCAAAACAATGCTTTTTAAAAGAAAAATGGAATCTGAGTCATTCCCTGATGTGTGCCATTGCCGTGCCTCTGACCCACAGACCGCCAGCTCTGCCTCCATCGCCGGTAAGGGTCTGGGGCAAAAGTTCCTTTCAACAGCCAAGTGACATCAGCTCCCCACCTTGTACTGGAGGTTTCGCATTGGTATGTCCAGAACATCCGGAAGATTAATGAGGTGTGATTTGATCTGGCCGGAGTGGACTGTCTTACCTTGCCCAAGCGTTTTATTCCTGATGAGCACTCCAGCTGGTGAATACCACATGCAGAAGATGTACTGATCTGTAACCACTTCATGTTTCATTTTTAATGCAAGCTGACTCAGCAAATGCTCCCACCCTCCAGCACAGCAGATGAATCCGGCAAGATAGCAGCTCCACCGTTGTCTTACTGCTGATCTTTCAAAGCCGTGCCCTTGACTTCTCCTCGCTTTTTCCGTACGCTCTGCCCAAGGCGCGGACCAGGAGCTACATCCGTTACTCAACTGGAACCTGCCCGTGAGATCCCCTGCATGGTGACCCAGCTGTCCCTGCATCTCCTCCTCCGGGTGGCCAGGGAATGGAGATCTGGGCTTCTGAATTCTGCTCATCCGTTGATTCCTACAGAAAGCCTGCTGATGAGCCCAGGGTGTTGCTGGGTGCGCTCATTTACTCGGGCGGTTTTGAACATCAGCTTGTGTTGTGGAATGTCACGGCAGCCTCGCGACACCAAGCTGAGCAAAAATCTACATTAAATCTGATCTGCGTTTTCTCTAGAGACAAATAGACGGGACAGTTCCACCTATTTGACACAGTGAAGTAACATTTCTCATAATAACAAAGATCTAAATTAACTAATTCAATAACATCTACCCTGCACCATCTTAGGTGCTTTGCTTCTACATCCTCTTCCACCCCAGCCAAGATACAACGACCCCGCAAGCACCACTTCCCCAGAGATACCAACTCCATTTGTGGAATTAAGGAAACTTGACAAAATGAACAAGCAGCACCTTAGAGCCGAATGCGTGCTGTGACCCTAGGGTCACACATCACCAGAGGCTGCTTTGCTCTTGTGCAGGATTTCTACTACAGCTGAGAACAGGCAGCTTGGGTGAAGGCAAGGTTCCCTCGGGTGGTAATCCGAGAATTTATGATCCTAACATTTTGTATTGAAGAGAACTGTATGCAAGCTTAATGCACGTAGTTAAACATGGTCACTCTCGACATTTAAAACCATTTGTTTCCCTTTTTTAAGCAGCTCAATTGACAAAGAGTGCTGTGGCTTCTTTTCAGAAGTGGGGAACCAAGCGCCTTGCCCAGGGTCAGGCGGCGAGTCTTTGGGAACGAGCTTGAACATCCCGAGTCCCACAGAACACCCTGCCTTTCGCAACATTTCTGAAGATGCTTCTCCATTTGTGCCATCAGGACTTTTTACGGGATTCAGACAGATGGATCAAGCAGCCTCATGGCTAAGAGATGAGCTACAAGAAGTGGGGGGGAAGGCTCAAAGCACTTCCCAGGGCACTCGGAAGAGATGGAAACACCTGATCTCTGTACAGTGCAGCAGGCAAACACGTTCCGGAAACCTCCATGGAACTGATAACGAGCAGACAGCCAGGCAATCTTAAAATGCTGCGGAGTGGGGGACAATTTTAGCCCTAGTTCCATAGACAAGAGGTTTTGGGTCCTCCACTGCCAACAGGACCCCTCCCCGCACCCACGCTCACTACCCGTCTGCTGTCAGATGCTGTAGGAAACACTGTTGGGATTTACCAGCATTCATTGTCCCCATTTTAACTCTGTTACAGTGGTTTTCCTGCTTCACATAGAGTAAAACACAGCATCACCTCATCCTGCCAGGAAGAGCATCCTCCTTGCCCTCAATAAGCCTCCAGGGCATGACTGCACCAGGTGGCCCGTCCCCACCACTGTCCATTTGCAAAAGCAAAGCCAACTCCTCCTCCTTTCTCTCTGAGACCTTACTTAAAATCCCAGTCCCCAGACAGCCACGTACTTCAGGCAGGAACACTGATGATGTGGCGTATTTCCCAGTGCCAGGGCAGGGCACGGCTGGAGCAATCCAGAGATTTTCTGGAACTGTTCCTGTCGGGAAAGAGCATCACCAGCCAGCGATCGCATCCACTGCTGGAACACTCTGCTCGGGCTCTTCAGAGTCTCCAAGTTATTACCCCCACCTTTGGGGAAATGAATGACTTGCAAATCCCTTCATAATTTACATAAATCAACGGCCAGACCTGTTATTCTGCCACTGAGCAAACGGCTGTCTGCTGGAAACAGAGCAGTCCTTTGCCCGCTTACAATACATGGAGATTTCTGATCTTTCCCGTGTTGTTTCTCAGTAACTCCTCGTAGCAGAAAACCTGTGAACTCGGTACAGAAGTGGGAGGAATGAGGAGGCAGAGGGAGGGTGACAGCAGCTGAACAGCCCCAGCGCCTTCGTGCCAAGAGGAGCAGAGCAGCAGCCAGACGGAGACGGTCCGGGCCCCGGGGAGAAGGTGTGGTTCTCTCTGCTTGGAGCAGGAAAAAATGGAAAATTCCACCACGTGTCTCCTGGAAGGAGAACGGTCTGAGAACCCTATCCAAACTCCACGGAACAGCAGATCTGCTGCGAAGGAGTTGAGCTCAGATGGGAGGTACGGGGGGCACAGTTCCCACGCACAAGCGGCTCTGTCTAGAAACTGCCGAGGATAAATGCAAGGAGTGTTTGAAGAAACATTTTCCCTCTGCAAAGACAAGAACAAAGGCACGAAATGGAAAAGGGGAAGAGATACGGACCCTAATCACATCTCTTGCACCACACCGCCACCCTGCCTGTTGGCATAGGTTAGCAATGGGCTATGACAAAGCGACAGCAGGTACCAACGTGACCCACACGGACAGAAAAATTCATGCAAGAGGCCCAAGCAGACAAGATGCATTTGCACCGCTCCATACGCTGGTGAGACTCAGGACCAGCAAGGCACTGGAGTGATGCGGGTGTCAAAGGCTTCGCTGCACAGGGCAGGAACACAGACGCAACCCCACATACCAACAGCATGGTTCAGGTTTTGAACCCTGCCCCTGCCCTCGATAATCTGATTTTCATTTCAGTGCATCCCTCCATCCGCCCAACCTTCAGACAAGGGCAGTCGCCCCACCTTTAACAGAAGGGATGCATCCCGGTTTTGTGTGCTGGTATTTCTGCGTGTAGCTGGAAAATACAGAGCTGTCAGGGTTAAGCGGTATTACTTTCAGTGCAGATCTGGGCCACATCTTCCAGAAAACTCCAGCCACCCTGGGCAGCTCCAAAAATGAGAGCAGCTGGCTGTGCCGCCTGGGTAACGCCATTCCCGGTGGCTGTGCTGCTGGATTGGTACAAAGCTGCCAGAAGCCGCTGTGTGATGCATCCAGTATGACGTTGTGTAGGCAGGGGCACCTGCAGAGCGCTGTCTCCAAAACAAGTTCTGAGCCCAACCCGTACTCGAAATGCAGAATTGGAACAGAAAACTCAGTCCTCCCTTCTCCTGCTCGAGTTATCCGGAGCAATGGATTTGTTTGTGCTTTGATCGGCAGTTTTTACTGTTCCTGGAGAAAGGAGGAAGGGGAAAAGATACTGCCAAGAGATGACAGAGCCTTCCAAAGAAACTCTGCAGGGGAATCTTCTGCCAAGCCAGCTCTTTGTTTCCAAACCTGATGCACGGCTCCCTGCATTTGCAAACAAACCACTTCCCAGTGCCCTGCCCATGCCCTGGTCCCATGTCTGAGCCAGAGGAGTTTGACTGGTGTGGAGGAAGCGCCTAGACCAGAGTGGAGCCAGGACCTGCCTCACCAAGGCCTCCAGTCTGAACAACTCACATCCCTGCTGTGGGAGGCACCTGCCCGGCTGGCGGCTATATCCCGGCACAGCCTTGAGAACCTGCTGCCTCTCAGGACCCTGGTCACTGGAGAAACAAACACAGAGAGTGGAAATGAACAACTGGCCATGGCACAACAGCAATGGTTTGTCTTCATCCCACAAAGGATGCTTTTTGCTCTATTGTTATGGTTTGACCCTGTGTGGCAGCACAACACCACACAGCCACTCGCTCACCCTCCCCACTCCCAGGGATGGGGTAGAGCATTGAAGGGGTGAAGGGAAAAGAGACTCAGTGACAGAAGATTTGAAGTAAAAACCAGTTGCTGTTAAAAGTGGCACTTTAAAAATCCATGCACACTGCCTCAATGTTATGAGTAAGGGTAAGGACAAGTATCTGTTTAGCTCCTTTTGGAATCCAAGGGCTAAGGTGCACCCCGCCTGGCATGGGAGAGACCCTGTAAAGGTTCAGCTTTCCAGAGTCACTTGAAGTCACAGGTGACAGCAGCTGAGTTACCGAGCTCCCCAGCATCACTGGGGCACGGCACTAACACCGTCCCAGACATCCACGTGCTGCGACATCCACATCCCCCAGCAGCACAGCCACACCAGAACCCCTCACCGGTGCCATGTGGACCTTCCAACCTGCCGCCTGCCATGTGGACCTTCCAACCTGCCGCCTGCATACAAACCTTCAACGAAGTCGGAGGCTGTGTACACCCGCTGTTTTGCATTGCCGGCCCCCTCTGGATGGTTCAAACTCCCAGCAGCCAACTCGATCACCTCTACCAACTCATCTCGCTTATCCTTCCTCACGGGTTTCTCTTCGGGGTGGCGCGTCAGCCCTGTCTCCAGCTGATACACCTTCTGCAGGGTGAAGCTGTCGAAGGGCACGACCGCGTACTCCGTGGACAGCTTAACGCCGCTGTGCACCTCTGCTCTGTCTATTTGGGACCGGAGGAAAGCCAGCAGGTTTGCCTGGGCCTTCTCGGGGTTACTGTGGTCAAGCCAAATGTCCAAGGGGTCTGGGTACCGCTCCTGCATGCTCTTAAGCTGCTCGTTCCTGCCCTGGAGCTCAGTCTTCAGCTGAGCAATTTGCTTCTTCAAGCTGACGACGTAGTTGCGGTGTTGCTCTTCTCGCTCTTGCAGAACAGCTTCATACCCCTCCTTGGTGGTCGGACCGCGTGCCCTGGGCAAGGCAAGCTGCTGGCCATCACCCCTGGGCGTGCAAGCCAGCATATAGACAATGGACACCAAGCAACAGGCCACCACCAGCAAGCCTGCGAGTCGGGGGAGAAAGACAATAAATCCTCTTCGGAGCATCATCTCTCAGAAAGCAGAGTCTGGCCCCACACATGTGACCGTTCTCGTGTCCACGCAGTGCCACAAGACTGGGAGTGCTCGCAGGCAGATGCATGTATGGACAGGAACTGGCTTGCCAGCTCTCCTAAAATGCGTGCTCTGCCTCTATAGCGGGCTCTCGCCGGTGTTCACCCAGCAGGACCAACAGACAAGCTGCAAAGCGGACAGGAGGCTTCCCGATCCTCATGGCAACACCTACGCTGCTGCACGGCCATCAGCTGGGGGCTGGTGGAGCCCGAGGACCTGAAAGACACATGACAGGGACAGTCGTTCATAGAATCATAGAATCATGAAGGTTGGAAAAGACCTCAAGGGTCATCAAGTCCAACCGTTCACCCACACCACCCAACCCACTAACCCATGTCCCCAAGCACCACATCTACACATTTCCTGACCCCCTCCAGGGATGGTGACCCCACCACTGCCCTGGGCAGCCTGTTCCAATGCCTGACCACTCTTGCAGTGAGTTCAGGCGCGTCAGGATTTGGTCATTCAGTCCAGACCAGAGCGTTTGAAGAATTCACTGTCATTGCTCAGCTGCCCTGGCAGATCAGAGCCATGAAGGGCTTGTGCTCAGACCCAAAAGGTGCCAAGACCCTTACGCGGGAAATTGTGTAAAGATTTAGAACCACGGAACTAGTGAGAGGATTTTTCAGGAGCAGTTAGGTCAGGTCTTACTCAAAATCAGGGGAAGCCTTGTTTCCACCCAGGAGGCTGCCATCAGTGCACACTACGTTATCATTTTCAAGCCCTCTTCTGTTTCTCATGATGTTATACAAGGCTTGTGACGGTACAGTACCGGTGTATTTTCCACACACGTTCTCTGCCAGGAGCGGGGAAGACACAGGAGGCTCAGGAAAAGCTGGTTTGGGGATTCATTCAAATAAGGGATGTTAAGACTGAACGTTATCATCCTTAGTAGGCATTCCTTGAGCACACTCATAAACAGGAAAGAAAAAGGAGATGACTGAACATGAACGTTGATCTAGATGTAAGCTACGCTAAAACAATCACAGTGAGAACACTACCGGTGGGATTTTCAAAATCCTTCCGTTTCAGCCCAAATCCACGCTGGGGCAGGGAACGGCCCCATTTCCTCAGCTGCCAGGAGACTCAGGCCAAGGCTGAGTAACATCCCAGACACCCTGACACTGCACCGTCCAACTCGCACACCACCACGTGAACCCCTCGACGCCCTCCCCTCGGCTGCACATGTGACACTGCGACACCGGTTCTGAGCACAGAGATTGGCAGTCCTGCGAGTCACACCCTTTGCTAGGAACCGTTCATCTACGAAGAAAAGTTTCAGAGTTATTTTCAGAGTTATTTCTAGTCTTGAGTCAGAGTTTTCCGCAGGGCTTCTTATCAGCCCTCCACGTCCTGCTGGGTTGCTGCTCTCCACCCAGAACCCATCCAGAGACATCGCTGACCTTCGGACTCTTACCAGTATTTTATCAATCGGAGGAGCTTCTAGGAAAATAAACCTTTTAGAGTCGGAATTGAGGGGGCTAGAGTGAGCTGTAAAAAGTGCTTGTCTCAAAGCAATGTGGAATGGCCACCGCAGCATGCAGAGGGTGCTGCAGGGAACGTCAGCACTTCCAGAGGAAGATTTCGTGATGATGAAGAAAAGGGAAAAAAAGACAGGATGAAGCTGGCACCCTTACCTTTTCGCAGTGATTTTCCTTTTGGAACATCTTGGTCTGCTACAGCTACTCCTCAGCTTGCCGCAGCCATCCCCGCTGTACCAGCTCCCCAGGAGACAGGGGCACTACAAAAGCACGGCCAGCCCCGGCACCCCTCTGCATCTGCCCGCTGCCCACATCCCCAGCACGGTGAAGGGCTGCAGCGCCGACGCTTCCTATGGATGCGCCGTGAGAGCCTGGCCTCCTGCAACGGAGAGGAGCTTGTCAAAGCGGGGAAAATTCATCTGGGCACTGCTGACTCTACAGCAGAGGCGGCCAGAGGGCTGCAAGGCGGCCGTGTGCGGTGGGACGGGGTCAGGAAGTAGCGAGCTGCAGAACATAAAACACTGCTGTGCTCGCGCGCTTGGCGTCGCACAATCAGCCCATTGAGTGAACTGGCAGAGGCTGAGCATCGCTGAAAGGATTAGTTGTGCTAACACCGCATAAACTGAAATTACATCTCGATGGCTTAGACAAACACGCGATTTCATTTCCATAAGCAGCATCAGATTCGAGTTTTGGGGGAAGAGCTCTTCAAATGTTGACTTTAAAATATGTGTGTGTATATATAGATTTCTTTCCTAAAAAGTACTGCGTGTTCCTTCAGGGCACTCTTTTTCCTGTCCAGTTTTCTGGTTTCTAATCTCACCCATCAAAGAAACACCTTTAAACAGACTTCAGGACAGTAAATTAACTGAGCCACTTTTTCCTTCGAACCAGCATTCTCCTAAGGAGAAATTCAGGCCGGGGGATCTCCACCCTCTGCACAGGGATCTCCACCACCGCGACGGCCAGTGAGCACTCTCTAGCTGCCCTTTATTGCTGGATCTGTCTGATTACATTGTGCCAGTGGCTTCGCTGGCGTTGCCTCTCAGCAACTGCCATTTCAGCACAGATGTTCCTGTCCTGCTATCTCCTGGGCACGCCTCTGGAACCCCTCCTGGCCCATGCCAGTGCCAAGAAAAGCAGATTGCGGGGAGTCAGCGGGGAAGGTGGTCACGGCGACGGCACCCCCGCCGCACAGAGAGCTGGGGACGGCAGCTCCTCCTAACAACCCTCCTGTTGATTTCCCCAGACCTACACAGCTTCACACCCACTGAGAGCGCCTCGGATGACGGGGAGACAAACTGAAATGTTTTTTGTTTTTTTTTCCAGGAACCGACAAGAACGCCTCTGTTTTACAGCAGTCAGCCGCGCCGGGCAGCGTGCGCCTGTTTGCAACGAGAACACACAGCGGTGAGTCTGATAGCCGAGGAGAGGGACGTTAAGCCTGAAAAAAAAAAAACC